CATCGCCTTCATCCTCGTGACGGGCCAGCAGTTGACGGGCGTCATCCCGCTCCAGAACTACCAGGTCATCGTGTACGGCAGCCTCGGCGTCGGGGGGAAACTGCCCCTGGTGCTCGTGGGCATCTGGGGCACCGTGGGCGTCTGCTCCAACATCCCCGGCGCGTGGTACTTTGACCGCTGGGGCCGGCGGCGAGTCATGCTGATCTCGTTGGCCATCATCATCCCTTCGTCGATCCTCCTCTCGGCCTTCTGGGCCAGCTTCGAAAACAGCGACAACCTCAACAAGACGTACGGGATTTTGGCCGTCGTCGCCATGTTCCTCTTCCTCGTCGGCTACTCTGTCATCTTCAACAGCTTCACATTCACCTACATCCCGGAGATCCTGCCGACGCCCGTCCGCGCGGCCCTCGGGGGTTTCATCACCGCCTGGGGCAGCGCCTTTGTCATCCTCCTCGTCCAGGTCACGCCCATGGCCATCGAGCACATCAGCTGGAAGTACTTTATGATCTTTGTCATCTGCACGGCCATCTTCGCCGTGGTCTTTTACTTGTAGTAAGTGTTTCTTTGACCTAGAATCTCTCCTTTCTTCCATTCTGGAGTCGCGAATACTTTAGTCACACACAGCAACCTCCTCGCCATGAGCTAACAGTTCACCTCAACAGCTTCCCCGAAACGGCCAACAAGACGCTCGAAGAAGTCGAGGAGCTGTTTGGAGATCCCGTGGCGATTCACATCGAGGACGCGGCAAGGCAAGCGGAGCTGGACCCGGTCGCGTACTTGAAGGACCACGAGAAGCATACGGCCGTTGAGAAGGTCGACGGAATACCTTGAGACCGACCCCCCTTTCAGGCTTCCCGCACTGATTCCAAGACACCAAGCTACTGCCAGCCATTCCGGATCCGTTTTGCGAAGATACATACATTCTTAAAGTGGCCCTCGTATTGTGCTTGGAATTCAAATGAGACCGGCGGTTAAATGATTTGAGAGAGGGAGAGGGAAACAAGCCGCGTCTGAGTGGTATATGACGCGTTCGGCGGGCAAGGGTACCAGGTCAGATAACTGTTTCGCCCGTCATTTCTGGACCGGTTCGAGAAAAAACGTTATATACTTTCCAGTTATACGCGAGAAAAGTGAACCCAAAAAAAAAGTGAAGCAGGATACAGCCCCAGAAAACTAGTCTTTTGTGAAACCTCCTCTGATATGCAATGCGTGTCTAGTGCATCTGTTCGGTCGGTTCATTACTCGGTACATACATAACCCTTACCCTAGGCACCCCAGGTACCTACCTACCTCATCCACATCTACTGCGTACCATGCGTACTAGCACCAACCTTGCACGTTACTTGGTCCTCGGTACTTATTTCCTCGTACCTACATCATGTTTGTACATACGTACCCGCCTACCGAGTTGGCGCCTTCCAACTCCTACCCTTTTAGGCTAGTTAGGACTTCCCGATCCGGCAGCAGATTTTTCAAATATTATTATTAATAATCAGCAGGATCCCAAAGTTCTGCATGGGAGGTAGGGACAGTAGTAGACCCTGCATCATTTGGGGCGCGTTGAGGAGGGGTGCCGGATTCCGAATTCTAGTGTACAAGAGAGCCCGAGCATATGTACTCGGTATGTATTATCATTACTTGGAGATATGTAAAGTAAAGTGTGTCTCAGCTAGAGAAGATAATGTTGGGTTGGTAGACAGGTCAAATATCCTGTGTGGTTTGCTGCGTCGTTCAATGTCCAAGGATACATATATATATATGCATAGAAAAAAGGAAATGCATTCCCTGTTCTTGCTGGAGAGTGCCGAGAACTCGTAGCACAACCTGAAAGATGATCTGTGTCGGATATACGGTGCAGACACAGTGCCGTCCGTTTCATTCTTAAAACCACCATCATCACGAGGCACCAAGGCTCCAGTCAAGTCGCCTTTTCCCCTTTCGCGTCCCGCTCTGCGATCAGCTCTGGTGGCTGTTCCATGCACACTTATCTAAGCACACAGATTGAGTCGCCAGTTGTGCCAGTGGTGTAATTGACCCATTCGTCTGAATGGCTTTCGTCCAAGCGAGCTTTCTTGGCCCCGTCTCGGCCGTTTTCTCGAATTCCCCCAATGACACCCCATGTCCTGCGCCCTCCTTACATAAGACAGGTGAACCCTTTTACCGACCACGGAATAGTAAGGTTGTCAGCTCGAAGCTTGGGAGGGTTTGGTGGCGGGCCTTTTCCCCGCCGCCGACGAGGGCGTCCCGTTCATACTCGCATGGCTAGAAAGGAAGGGAATCTGCACTACTCCTCCCAGCACCATTGTGGTCTTAGCGTGCCTTGTATTCCCGCGTCTGCTGTTTGACCCTCCAAAAAACCTTGTTTGGGATTCGGCAGGGCTGACCAGAACGAGCGGGACGGGCCAAGGTTGTGCAGCAGGGTATATATGGGCTTGAACATTTGGCCTCGAGGGAGGAGAGGGGTAAAGGGATGGAAGAGTGATGAAATAGAAACTACTTCCTCAGACTCCTCAATTCGATCGATCCCTTTCATATCCAAGTCACAAAGTCATGGTAGAAATCCAGTTCCTCCTCGTAAAGCCCGCGCCGGGCACAGAATCTCGTCGCGCCCGCGAGTTGCGAAACTCAGCCGCACGATCGCACGCCGCGCGCATCACCCACAACAGAGCCAGACAGAAGAAGAGAGATGTCCGCGAAGGGGAAGTCGATGAGGGAGAGACCTTCGATTGCAGTTGTTGTCACCGTGTATCGCCCATAACGACAACTGACAGCAATGCTTTATCGCGCTGGATCGAAACACACGGCGGCGGCGCTATATCTCGCCGTTCATTCGTGCGGGATCCAGACCACAATGCGGTCTCCCACAGGCGCTTTTCTCTCGCGGGCGGGGCCCAAGACCAGAATTTCTTGGGCATGATTGTTGGACAGGGTAAAAAGGACCCCTTCGCTTCGTACGAGGGCAGTCAACTCCCGTGTCGAATGCTTGAAGTTCTTGAGCATGGTGAGTAAACTCGCGAATGCTATTCACACAGCCAGTACGACCTCACAACACCTCCGCACTGAGGTTATCAACTAGGAGCGCTTTTAGGACTGCTGTACTGACTAGCCCCCAACACAGCCTACGAAGTTGTCTGGCCAAAGATGGTCCAGGCCGAGGACACGCAGCTAGCGGTAACGAAGAAATCCTGGAGACAAGCCGCGGTGCAATATCCATTTCTTTTCCACTGCCAGGTCATGGGCGCTGCTGGGGCGGCATTGAGCCTCTGCCAGGATGAAGGGGTAGCCAAGTATCTCTCCCTCAAGCGACTGGAGCACCAGATGACGGCTATCAAGCTCATCCGGGAAGAGCTCCAGCTGATCAACAGTGGGATGTCGGAGCCGTCAGATGAGCTGGTCATGGCAATCCTGAATCTCGTCACCTCGTCAGGGGATGTCAACGAGTCACCCGGAGAGGAGGTACATCCAAAGTCGCCGCTCGCACAGGCCCAACCTGTTGGAAGGGTCAAGTTGAACGATACGCATCTTCAAGCCGTACATATGCTCATTCGACGCAAAGGAGGACTGCGGGGGCTGAGTTCATAGTAAGTCTCTCAAAAAGTCACCCACTACCGGAGATGGGAAATCCAAATATCCACGTTTGGTTTTGCACCCTTCGAACACTAATGGAAAATAGTGCTCTGGCCTACATGATCGAGGTGTAAGTATTCGAGAGACCATCCGGACTCGCATTTGGTTGACGATGGGTTAGTGTCGACATCTATGTGGCTGCCCTGAGGACCAGCCGTCCGCTTTACCCTTGGATCCACGGACCCCAGGATCTGGTCGCCAAGGGTAAGTGGACTCCAGATCAGCATGCGGAGGGGCTCTCAAAGGTCCTGGGTTCAGGGTTGGCGGTGCTGGCGGCCGTCGACGTCAGAATACATCGGCTGTACCTCGAAGTCTGTAAGATCACCATAGCCCTAGACCAGTATCACCGAGGCGCGGAAGGTCGACCCTCCTTAGCCGATCTCGTGGACGCGAGGAACAAGACCCAGCACGGCTTCTCGAGTCTGACTCCGGCAAAAGAGACCGACACGGGCGCCTTCGAAGTCCTTTACGAGATCTGTAGACTTGCGGGTTTGATTTTCTGCGAGATGGTGATCCTGCCTCTCCCCTACAATAGCGGCGTCAAGCCTCGCCTCTCCCGTCAACTTCGTACCGCCTTGGAGACTCCTAGTCTGCGCCCCCTGTGGAAATCGACCAGCCACGGAGAACTGGTGATGTGGGTTGTCTTCATGGGAACAATCGGGGCCACATTCACCAAGTCTCGGGCATGGTATTTGCAGCAACTGCGAGGCTTGGTCGACGATCGGCAGTTGGATTGGGACGGATTCAAAACGCTCATGGAGAGATTCCTCTGGTGGGATTTTGTGTTTGAGGTCCCTGCCGCCAGGATGTGGAGGGAAATGAATGCAACGAAATTGTGAATGGAGCGTCTGACGCTTTACTTAACTGCATTCGAGCCGGAGACTGCGCTACGGACTGAGGATTCGGACATCAAAATGGGATGAAATGACACCTGGGAGAACCTGGAAGGTTGCGGTTTACTTTGGTTCGTTTGGAATGTATAACAGTGAACATCAATAAAGGCGTCTCGAGGAACAAACACATTCGAATTGTCAAATGCCCAATAATGTCTGTCTACTCCCGCAACGAGGAATGCCATGGTCAAGAAGAACAGTTCTTGGTTTCCTAGTTTCCTGCTAGAATGACAACAAGCACGCAGTAAAGGTAAGATTCACCTATTCTGCCTCCCTGTACAGAGTACCATTGTATTGATATACTCGAACGCTCAGCTTCCTTCTTGGTATGCCCACTTGTGCAAAACGAGAATAGTAACACATCATCCAGACGTGAAAGATCCAAAAGTCATAGCAAATAAAATGTCATGAAAATCGTCCATCCAAGGCGCCCCTTTGACACAGTCAGTCACTTCATTCCCATTACTATTAACATGCTGATCACCGAAATTGTCCTGGTGGTCCACTGGTCGTCACACCCTCATTGGGCGGCTTGCCCCTGTCTTCGGCTTCCTATAGCCAAATAGTCTCTATTTTCCACTGTGACGCTCTTCGTCATGTGGTTTACCTTGTAGATGCCCACTAGGCGTTCCGCGAGCTCGAACATGTTGTTTCGCAAGGAGATGACGATAAACTGTGCGTTTTTGGTTCGCTCTTTGATGTAGCCTGCCACGATCGACACCTGCGAGATTATAAGTCAGCATTCGAGACACCCATCAGTAAGCAAGCCGGGTATGTAACTTACGTTTCTGAAATCCAGCGCCGCATCAATCTCGTCCATCACGTACAACGGAGTCGGCCGGTACACATGTAGTGCAAATACCAGGGCGAGTGAACTCAATGTCTTTTCGCCACCAGACAAATTACCAATGTTCTTCCAGCTTTTCTTGGGAGGCATGACAGAAAACAGGATGCCTTCGGAAAATGGATCAAGACTGTCTACCAGTTCGAGCTCGGCATTGCCTCCGAGCGTGATGAGCTGGTACATAGACTTCAGATGCGAAGAGATGGTGGTGAAGCCTGTCATGAACTGGGTAAGGCGGAGGTTGCGAAGATCAGTCAGTCGTGTTTTGGCCGCATCCCTAGTCTTCACCGCACTCTTGAGATCACTTGTTCGGGAAGCCACTTCTTGACATCGACGCCGATATTCAGCGATAACGCTCAAATCAATGCTTGAAGCATTAGAAACCTTCTCTTCGAGAGCCGCAATTGAGGCGACAAGATGGTCTTTGTTTTTGTCAAGGAGCTCATCGCGAGTGAATATCTGCAGCTGCCTGCTTGCCGGGGTAGGAGGGGCATTTTGCTCCTCCTCATGTGGTTCTTCATCAACGTCCATGGCGTCCGGATCTGCTTCAGGAGGTGCGTCCGGCATGTCCTCTTCATCCGCCGGCCTCTCAAGCCTTTGCTGGTCTCGATCTGGGGATATCGCTTCTAGGTCGGTGGTATCGTGTAACGTTAGTTTGGACAACTTTTCTGTCCAGTAACGATTCTTCTTTTGATTGTCTGCCAGGACCTTGTTGTTTTCTTCAAGCTTATTTTTCATCTCGATTTCAACAGCTCTCGTCGAGTTCAATTCGGCTGTTTGCGCATCAAGATTCTTCTTCAAATCTCCAAGTTCGTCCTTCATCCTGGTCTGTTGTTCTTCAGCTTGATCCACCTGGCCTCGCAGCTCCGCAGCAGCAGACTTGTGTTTCTCGATATCTTGTTCCAGCTGTTCAAGATCTTTCGATAGAGATTCAAGTTCCTTCTCTGCGTCCAATTTGGTCTTTTCGTTCTTGGTCTTGAGCTTCTCGTTCTTCGTCTTGGCCACTTCCGCGTTGGAGATGTCGTCATTTAACATGTCAATTCTTTCTTTAAGGCCATCGACTCGAGCCTTCTGAGTTCGGAGCTGAATGCCACCAACCTCCATGATCCTGTCCTGCAGAGCCTGGATCTCCGCCTCCACACTGGCCGTCTCGGAGTGTAATTGTTCAAGCTCCCTGTTCATCGACTCAATGCGCGTTTGGAGACGGATGATCTGAGTGTCGTCGACTGAAGTACTAGCCAACTCGGTGAGGAGATCTTGGATTCGTCTTTGTGCGTCTGCAATATTCCTGGTGCAGGTCTCTACTTCGAGATTCGTCTTCTGAATAGCGGTTTCCAGACGCGGAATCTCTTCTTGCTTCTCTCTGAGGCTTGCCTCGAGTTCCCTTTGTCTCGTCTGAAAAGCCTCGAACTGCTTCTCTAGTTGGTCTCTTTCGTTTTCAAGCTTCTGAACCTGCTCTTTGGTGGTATCTGAAGACAACTTAGATGACATGGCACCACGTGCAACACGAGTTCCACCACCACTCATAGTCCCGGAGACGTCGATCAATTGACCATCAAGAGTGACGACCCGCCATCGTTTGGCACCGTAAGCAATTCGATTTGCCTGTTCGAGATCTTGTGCAACAAGCGTATTCTGCATGACGCTGTAGAAGGCTGGGGCAAAACGTTCATGCTTGGGCTTGATGAGGTCAAAGAGTCGAGGTACGTTCTCGGGAGTTTTTATAGGAGACAGATCGCGCTGAGCAAGTTTGTCGAGAAGAATGAAGTTTGCTCGTCCCAAGTTGTTCTTCCGGAGATATTCGATACACAACTGGCCGACTTCGACATTGTCAACAACCATGTTCTCCAATGAGGGACAGGCTGTGGAAATGGCAACGTCGAACTTTTCATCGATCGTACCTAGATTGCCGAGGCGACCGTGGAAGCCATCGATGCGACCTGAATCCCTGAGCCGTAACAAGCCCTTGAGCACATTGCTTTGATTCTGGCTGGTTGCGAGACTAGCACGTGCCTCATCAGCCTTTTGCCGTGCCGACGATATCTGTGATCGAACCTCGGGCTCACTAGCGGCGAGCTTCTGTAGAGCATCTTGGATTTTCCTAATATCCTTCTCCAATCGGGCTTTTTCGTATTTTCGTTGCTCAATTTCTTCGAGCTTCGTGGTCTTGTTCGCCTCAATGCTCGCAACTCTTTCATTGGCTTGGTCTATTGATTTTTGACCGCTGTTAGCTTTCTCTTGGAGGATGTCGAGTTCGGATTGTGCAACAGCGATAGCAGACTGTTTTTGGTTGATTTTGGCATTCCACGGCTCCAACGACTTTTGCTTCACGGCAATCTGATCAGACAAGCCTTGGGTCTTCCCCTTGAGATCATCCCTGATGGCAGCTAGCTTTTTCTCTTCTTGCTCCATCTCCTTCTCAAGTTCGAGAACCTCTGCACCTTTTCGTTGGACATCACCCGTGTGTCTTTCGACAAGACTTTGGGCTTCAGATGCAGCCAAGCGACTGGAAGTAGCGGTCTTCTCTGCTTTCTTCTGTTTGCCCCCAATAAATTTGCGCTTTTCATCAAACTTGACACCCTCCTTGTCAAGTTTAGCTAATTCTTTGTTCAGATCTTGGACTTGCTTCTCGATTCGTTCATACTGTTTGACCGCTTTGTGGTACGCACTTTCGAGTTCTCTAATGGCATCCTCATTACCAGCATGCTTCTCCAACTCGGCATTGAGCTGCTCTTGAATTTGCTGTATTGCCTCTTCCGTGACTTTGTTGTTGTCTTCACATTCGGCGATATAGATTTGATACAAGGCTGACTGCTTTTCTGCCAGTTCGTTTTCGTCGCGGATAAATGTCAGAGCTTTGTTTTTCTTATCTTCGAGGCTATTCTTTTCTTTCTCGACATGCTGGACGCGACCCTGCTTCTCAACGCAGATTTCATTGAGGCTTTCAAGCTCGACAGCGGCTTCTTCAATGGGTGTCTTGTACTTCGAGGTTCCAATGATGTCCTCGAGATACTCCAGCAGCCCATCGTCGTGTTCGTTTGCAGCCTTGGGCTTCATCTGCGCAATGGACTCGACCTCGCCCTGTAAGATCAAGAATCGTTTGTGATCTAGGTCGATACCCTTGTCCTTGAGCAATGTCGTCACTGTCGTAAAATTCGTCGTCCTGCCGTTCAAGTAATAGTTGCTTGTGTTGTTCTTGAACGCTTTCCTGGAGACCACAAGTTCCGAGTCTGGCACTATTTCGTGCTTCCCTCCGGGTAGATCAATGATCTCTTGAAAATAGACCTCAACCTCGCAGAAATCAAGATCTTGGTGGTGTGCAGAGTTGTGAATCAGCGCCGAGATTTTGCCCTGTCTCATCTTACTCGCCCTGAAGCCGAAGACGAAGAGCAGAGAGTCAATGACGTTGGATTTTCCAGAGCCGTTTGGCCCCACGACCGCAGAGAATGAAGCATGGAAGGGTCCAACGACTTGCCTTCCGGCATAGCTTTTGAAGTTGGTCATGACTAGCTGTCGAATGACCATCCTAGACTTGGTTCCGGTTGGCTCTTCTGCAATAGGAACGGCCTGTGCTCTTGCCCGTATAACGATGTCCATTGGTTTCTCTATCATTGGATCTGCCGTTCTTATTGGTTTGGGCGACTCTTGATAGGCCTCCTGCGGCACATTTTTGTTCAACGCCTGGCTGGTGATGTCTTTCAGAGGCGTTCCAGCTGAGATCTCTGGTGCAGCAAGGGTCGTGGTATCGGGAGGGGATAACTCAGGTAGAGGTGGTACGACAGAGGACCTCCGGCTTTTTCGAGGAACGGCACTCTTTCGTTTTCGTGGTGATGAAGTCTTTGTTGGAGAGGTAGGGTCACTGGCCGGCATGGCCTCTTCTGGGTCGAATATCTGCGAGGGTTCAATGCCCTCGCCGGTCTTGAACTTGCGTGAGCGCGCCGACTTCTTGGGTGATGCATCGACGCTGGCAGTTGTCTGTCTTCTCGTAGACCTGCGCGGGCTTCGCTTCGGCGCGGGCGTAAACTCCTCATCGTCATCCTCTTTGATGAGGCTCAACTCGTCGTCCGACTCTTCTACTATAACATTTTTGCGCGCAGCGCGGCGCGTCGGCCGAGCTGGCGATTCAGCCGACATCCTGGACTGCTTCTTGTGAAGTATTCGAAAGCCTGACTCTTCAATTGAGGAAGCTGGTTGTTTGTCTATGTTGACACTGACGAAAGAGGAAATGGCGCGGCGAGTGCCAAGCATTGTCGCTTGCTCGTGGCAGTACGGATAAACCTTGTTCCATTCCTGCCAACGATAAACAATCACGCGGCCACGCCGATATACCAGGCACGTGATAATGCCGTTAAGCGGAATTATATGATGTGGTAAGAAAGGCCGACTGGACCAACTCGAGTGGTTGAGCATTGTCCGTTTCTTATGGACACGACCCTCCGCTAAACAAACCTCAATGAATGATTAAGCCTGAGATAGACAGTCACAAGGGAGCTTTACCACGTCAAGACATTGAAGGACAAGAAGTGCAACAAACCGTCTCATGGACGTCTCGACCTTTTGTCTATCTAGGTGTATCCATTCATCTTCCCCCAACTCAGGAGGGTCTCTATCCCCGTGCAAATCAGCCAACGCGACGGCCGATCTCCGTCCGGAATCAGAGTCACGGGTGGTCTGTTGTTTTGGAACTCTTGGCCAGCAGGATGATCCGAGTGCCTTGGACTTATAGTCATAGACGAGGGAAGATAGACAAGAGGTACATAGCTTTGTTCAAGACGTATTCACCTTTTGTTTGCCCCCTTACTTCGCCAGAAATGCCTGGAACGCAGAGTGCTCAATAACCACGTTGCCCACAGCCTTAAGCTTCTTTCTTCCCTCCTTTTGTTTTTCCAACAACTTCATCCTCCTCGTCTTATCTGCAGCGTGTAGCTTTGCTGTGACATCCTTCCTGAATGGTTTCAACGTTTCCCTGGCAATGATTTGTCGACCGACTGCAGCTTGAATTATCACCTCGAACATTTGGCGGTCGACATGTTCCTTAAATTTCTCTACCCATTGTTTCCCAACGTGCCTCACCTGTGATTGATGCATGACGCGGGAGATGGCATCGACAGGTTCTTTGTTGACCAGGAGCTGGAGTTTGACAATGTTGCTGACACGCCATTCAGCTTCTTCGTAATCGAGGGTGGCATAACCTTTGGTTGCCGACTTCAATTTTCCAAAGAAGTCGTCGACGAGGTGTGCCAGAGGCATTTCGTATTTGAGAATGACTTGAGAGGACGTGAAGTATTCCATGGACTTTTGTTCACCTCGGTTAGCCTCACAGAGTTCCATCACTTTTCCTAGGTATTCCTCGGGGAACGTTAGAGTTGCTAGAACATAGGGTTCACGAAGCTCTGCCACATTCCTGCGCGTTTCCTCGCTGTCAGGAAACTCAGCTGGATTCGTGATAACCTCCTCTTTGCCGTTCTTGTACAGCACTTTGAATGGCACAGTGGGTGGAGTGATAATGATACTTGCCCCATGTTCCTGTCGGAGTCGGTCCTCAAAGACTGAGCAATGTAGTGTTCCCAAGAAGCCCAGACGAAAACCGGCCCCAAGTGCCAATGATGACTCTTTTTGGATAGTGACACTTCTGTCGTTCAGCAATAGATGGTTGATGCTATCTTCAAGATGTTCGAATTCGCCTTGATCCACAGGGAATGCCGCGACAAAGACCATAGGTTTGGGTTCTTCGAAGCCCGGCAGTGGTTTGACTTGGTTTTGAAATCCGACCTTTGTGTACGTATCTCCGATCTTGGCTTCGCTACTCTTTCTCATCGAGGGATTGAAGTAGACGTATCCGACTTGACCAGCCCGAAGGACCCTTTGAGGCGTTTGATCCGGATACATGATGCCCACTTCGCCCACAGTATATTTTAAGCCTGTCGCGAAAGAAATGATCTGGTCTCCTGCACGAACTTCGCCATCAAATATGCGCACCAATAGAATAACGCCCTTGTAGCTCGAATACCAGGAGTCTACTAGAAATAGTCGTAGTGGCTTCGTGTGATCACCAACAGGGCTGGTACCGTCAGTAATCATCAAGACAGAGAGAGCGGCTTGCTACCTACGCTGGGATTCTCTCAATCACAGCTGGGAGTACATTCTCCACGTTTAACCCAGTCTTTGCTGACACTAGAACGGCCGAATCGGGGTCCAATTCAAATGCATCATGCATCTGTTCCAATGCTCTCGGAGGGTCGGCGTGAGGCAGATCGACTTTGTTGATGACCGGGATCAATGATAAGCCCTGGGCGAAGGCCAAATAGAAATTGGCGACTGTCTGGGCTTGAACGCCTTGACTGGCGTCCACCAGCAACAGAGCCCCTCCACAACTGGCATAACTTCTTGAAACCTCTGCGCGGAAATCAACATGGCCAGGAGTATCCACAAGATGAAGAAGGAAATCCTCCCCTTTGTAGTTGTAGATCATGGAACATGTTTGCGCTTTGACGGTGATGCCGCGTTCTCTTTCGACGTCTAGCTTGTCAAGAACTTGCTTGTTGGAGCCTGGTTGGATGGTACCAGTCAGCTCCAGAAGCCTGTCGCTCAGTGTGCTCTTGCCATGGTCAACATGCGCGACAATGCAGAAGTTACGGTATCGTTCAATCGGGATGGCTGCGATTCGAGTTTCGAGGTCGCTGGGAGGAGTTTGGTTTGGTGCGCATCGGAAGGCAGAGGTCGCGAAGGACCGCGACAGAGATTTACGCCAGATTGAGGCAGAAGTGGTGCTTAACGCAGCTCTTCGCCGTGCAAAGATCTGCAGCCATGGTTGCATGGGTCAGAACATTAGGGTGGTGACGGACATTGACCCTGAATGCGCTTCCGAAAAAACTTGTGAGGGCAGAGGGCAAAAAGGTACAAACGACTTGGAACGTGCCCGATTATTGCCCCGCCAACAATCAACATCAACACCAAAACCACTCCAATTTTCGCCCAACACACTTTGCTTTGCACTGAACAGCCAACATGAGCAAGATGGCGGTCGAGAAGAAAGACAAGTCGCAACTACACAAGGTTGCGCTCAAAGGTATGTTCTCATTGACACCAGTGACAGCAATGTACTAATGGATGCACAGGGTCATCGAAGACAGTCGCAGAATTCGTAAGTGCACCCCGCCTGATCTCACACGCCAAAGACTGAGAAAAGCAGTTCGAATACTCAATAAACACAATACTGTGAGCCATGTGAGCAGACTACAAGTGGATCGGATAGTAATGCATTGCAGATTTCAGAGAGGTGTTTATCCTGCAGAAGATTTCACCCCGTGAGTCGCATTGAACAACTGGGCTAAATATCCGCTGATCATCACAGGGTTAAGAAGTATGGACTCAACATGCTCGTATCCTCGGACGACCAGGTCAAGGCATACATCAAGAAGATAATGTCACAACTGAACAAATGGATGATTGGGGGCAAGATCTCGAAGTTGGTGGTCGTAATCACAAGCAAGGAGACTGGAGAACACGTTGAGAGGTGGCAGTTCGACGTTCAGCTTCTAGGAAAGTCTTCGAAACAACGGCCCTCCAAAAAGGCAGCGGACAAGGAGAACGCAAACCCGGAGTAAGCTACACCAAACGAGATACAGGGCATGTCTAACAAGGGAACAGTGAACCTGCAACAGAAGAGACAGAACCCGAGAAGACCGAGACTCAGATACAAGAGGAGATACAAGCAATCTTTCGCCAAATCACTGCGTCAGTCACATTTTTGCCAGTGCTGGACGGCAATTGCACCTTCAATGTGTTAGTCTACGCTGACGCAGACTCGGACGTCCCCATCGAATGGGGGGACAGCGACGCAAAAGAGATCAGGAACGCAGAGAAAGTCCAACTACGCAGTTTCAGCACTACCAACCACAAAGTAGATACCATGGTCAGCTATCGATTGGCGGATTGAGAGTGTGTCAGGTCTCTTAAAGGCATGGAGTTCGACGGGTCTCTTGGAAGTGATGGATTTTACGATAGGCCGCAGAGCATGAATATGAATTTGAACTACAAGCACACTGAACACCTGATTACATCTGCTGGATGCATCGCGTGTAATCGACTTTGATTGATTATGATTGGCCTGGAGGGGCGAGGCTGTTCAGCCTTATCAGCGTAGAGTGGGGGTGAAGTTGGAGAACTTTTTGCGGTCGCCCACCATAGTTTCTCTGCGCCTCGAGAAAGATATGAATCACGCCGCAACAGACACTGCACGCAAGCGAACACTAGTTCTTCTGTCGCATGCGACTGGGCCTCATATGTCAACTCGATAAACAGCACTCGCGCCAATGACCGACCCTCCTTCGTGTTCCGCCTCCCATCCTCGTTCCTTACGGTGATAGTGAAGGCAAAATGGCTGCAGCCACACAGGTACAGGACATGGTGTTGGGAAAAGAGCAAGTGATAAATGACAATCCGAAAGTGATCAAGGAACTTCAGTTTGGTGTACTGTGGGTTAAACGATCGTGATAGAACCTGAAGGGCGATTCTAATGTCTCTAGATCGGATCAAGATATCATCAACCAGTCTGCGGTCGAACTTGTGGACCGGCGCCTGTTCGATCTCGACAAGACACGCTCAGATGGGACTCGCGCGATCGCTGAGTATGGGCCACTCGATAGGCGTATGGGTGTCTCGTCCAAGCAGAACTCATGCGAAACCTGCGGAAAACATCTGCAAGAGTGCAACGGACATTTTGGACATGTTCGACTGGTCCTTCCCGTCTACCACGTCGGGTACTTCAGAAAAGTTATACAGATCTTACAGAGCATATGCAAGGCACGCACTGCTTTCGAAAACACCGCCACCAAGTACTGACTTTTCCAGGACTGTTCCTGCATTCTTCTTTCCGAAGCCGACCGTCGCAAGTTCCTGAGCGCAATCCGCCGATCGCAGAATGACAGCTTGAAGCAGACTTCTATTGTCAGACGGGTTGCAGACCAATGCAAAAAGACCAAAGTGTGTTTCGAGTGCGGTGCTATCAATGGCTTGGTTCGGAAAGCAACGACACATTCTCTCAAGATAACTCACGACAAGTTCAAATCCTACAATGCCTCCACATCCGCGAAAAAAGTGCCGCCCCCTGAGAAGGTCGCCTTTGACAAATCGTTCGAGACGGCAAAGCTTACCAACTCGGAACTCGAGAAGCATCTCAAAAAAGCCATGGACGATTTGACGCCTCTTCGAACCCTCCGTCTGTTCAAACGGATTCGACGTGCCGATCGTGAACTGCTTGGACTCTTTTCCGCGAGACCGGAAGCTTTCCTCTGGACATACGTCCCTGCCCCTCCTGCATGTATCCGACCGTCAGTAGGGCAAGAGGCTTCAAGCACAGAAGACGATATCACCGCTAAGCTTGGGGACATTGTCGCTGCTAATGATGCGTTGCGTGAAACTCTGGAGAAGGGCTTACCCACCTCGCAAATCATGGAACACTGGGATTATTTGTCCCTTCAATTGGCAATGTATATCAACAGTGACGTACCAGGTCTAGCCAAAGGTGAATTTGGCAAACAGATTCGAGGGTTCGTGCAACGTCTCAAAGGCAAGCAAGGACGCTTTCGGGGCAATCTTTCTGGAAAACGTGTCGATTTCTCTGCGCGGACTGTCATTTCCCCTGACCCCAACTTGCGAATTGACGAAGTCGCCGTACCGATCCTGGTGGCAAAGAACATGACATACCCGGAAGTGGTCAACGAGCTCAACATCGAAAAACTACGACAACGAGTACGCAATGGACCTGATGTCTGGCCAGGAGCCAACCATGTGATCAAGAAGGAAGGGTTCAAAAACTCTCTAAAGTATAATAATCAGCTCACAGCGAGTCATCTGAAGGAGGGTGATATCGTCGAACGCCATCTTGAAGACGGAGATGTGGTTCTGTTCAACCGCCAGCCTTCACTTCACAAACTCAGTATTCTGAGCCATTTCGTCAAAGTTCGGCCCCATCGGACATTTCGGTTGAACGAATGTGTCTGCAACCCTTATAATGCTGATTTCGATGGAGATGAAATGAACCTCCACGTCCCACAGACAGAAGAAGCCCGCACAGAAGCAATGCTATTGATGGGTGTCAAGCATAACATCGTGACACCGAAAAACGGCGAACCAATTATCTCGGCCATTCAGGACTTCATCACCGCCTCGTTCCTCCTGAGCAGCCTGGACCAGTTCTTCGACAAGAAGACCTTTGTGACAATGTGCTGTGGGATGCTGGAACCTGAAACAAAATTTGATCTTCCTCCACCTGCGATCATCAAGCCCCAGACACTCTGGACGGGCAAGCAGGTGTTCAGCGTCTTGATGCGTCCAAACAAGGACTCCAATGTGAGAGTGAATCTTGACGCCGCCTGCCGAGACCATAATCAGTATCACCCTGGCCTACACCGAGATCTCCAAGACGATAGTTTCTTATGCGTTCGCAATTCAGAGGTACTTTGTGGTAGGATGGACAAGTCAACTGTCGGCTCTGGAAAGAAGAACTCAATCTTCTATATTCTCTACCGCGACTTCGGGCCTGACGCCGCTGCTCAAGGCATGAATCGCTTGTCCAAACTCTGCGCCAGATGGTTGGGCAATCAAGGTTTCACTGTTGGCATTAGTGATGTCACTCCGCCCGAGAAGCTCGTCAAGGAGAAGGCTGAGATGATAGCCAAAGTATTTGACGAGTGTAGCTCTTTTGTTCGCGAGTCAAAGGCAGGGAAGCTGAAACGCAAGGCGGGTCTGGACGATGCAGGCACCCTCGAGGCAGAGCAGATTCGAGTGTTGAGTACGGTTCGAACCAACATTGCGGGAATTTTGACCTCTCAGCTCAGCAAGAATAACACGCCAATGGTCATGGCCGTGTCTGGCTCCAAAGGCTCGAACATCAATGTGGCTCAAATGGCAGCTCTTCTTGGGCAACAGGATATCGAGGGAAAGCGTGTTGCCGATGGTTTCCAAGACCGAACATTGCCTCATTTCCTGAAACATGAACGGTCGCCTCCCTCAAAAGGCTTCGTTTCAAACAGCTTTTTCAGCGGGCTCCTCCCTTATGAATTCTTGTTTCACGCAGTGGGTGGTCGAGTTGGTCTCGTGGACACTGCTGTCAAGACAGCAGAGACAGGTTACATGTCGAGGCGACTCATGAAATCTCTCGAAGATCTCTCCACCAACTACGATCGTACAGTCCGCAACTCGGCTTCAAACATCGTACAATTTCGTTTCGGCGATGATGATCTCGATCCTGTCGATATGGAGGCTAGTGCTAAACCAGTTGATTTCGACCGCACCTACGCTCATGTTGAGGCGACGACGTTTGATCTGAATGACCAAGGCCTACAGGATACCGAGATTTTCGGTGTCATGGAAGAGATCTTGTCGGCTAAGAGAGGCCTGCTGACAAGGGTTGGCCTCAACAGTGCTGAGCTTCTCTATGATATCGATGACGACAGATTGGTTGACCAAAACGAGAGCAATCGAGCATTTCTGCAGTCGATACATGACTTTGTCATGGCAAAGTGCCACGCCTTCAATGAGGCCAGGGCGAAGAAACAGCAATTTGCATTGCCACCCTCCGTGCCGAGCTCCAAGGGAAAGCGGAAGGCTGAAGCGGAGCTGGACGAGGTGGACGAGGAAGCACCAGCTCCGAAACGACGTTCAGGCAGGAAAGGAGCAATTCCTGCCACATCAAGAGATTCCAAGGGCCAAAAGGCCATACTCAGTGAGGACCATGCACTGATGAAGCCGCCTCCGTCCACAAAAGACCGCTTTGAACTCACGTGCAAGCTATCGAAGAAGACACTACAAGCCTTTGTGAACCTATGTCTGGAGAAGTATGAGCGAGCACGTGTGGAACCCGGTCACGCCGTCGGTGCAGTCGGTGCACAGTCCATAGGAGAACCAGGGACCCAGATGACTCTGAAAACCTTTCACTTTGCCGGTGTTGCTGGCATGAGTTTGACAGCAGGTGTTCCTCGAATCAAGGAAATCATCAACGCCTCAAAGGAGATCAGTACGCCAGTCATCACTTGCCGGTTGGAACGAAGAAGAGATCTGTCAATCCCCGAAGGTCTTGCTCGTATCGTCAAAGGCCGAATCGAAAGTCTATTCCTAGCAGACGTGACATCTTATATAGAAATCCGCCACTTTCTCGACCGACCAAGTTGCATCGACCTCCAAATCTCATTGGACACCATTACCGAGCTGGGCTTGGATCTCACATTGGAGGACATTGTGATTGCCATCCAAAAGCATCGACAGCTGAAATCTGCCAAATTAAGGATCCAGCTTCGCAGCAAAGATGAGCTCAGAATCTCCACAGAATCTGCGATCAAGTCTGCGAAGAGAGGATCTGCAGCCAAGATAGATGAAGAAGGTCAGAGTGAGCGTCTCATTCGTCTTCAGACCTTGCGACGCATACTGCCAAACGTGCATGTCCTCGGCCATCCTCAAGCAACTCGAGCAGTGGTCATGGCAGAAGACGATCCAAGATCAGATGAAGTCAAGGCTATGCGCAGGTCTTTGACGGCGCAGGGAATGAAGACCGAGCAAGCACATTCCAGCACCGACCCCAAGGTCAAAACGGAGGGCTCAAGTGAAACGACAGCTGCTTCCTCCAAAGCGTCGTCCTCCAAAGTCAAACTCGAAGAGACTGCGCCATCTATAGCCCCTCAATCTGTGCCGCAAAAAGACACTGCACCTATCCAGATGCACAAGGTCATGGTTGAAGGCTACGGTCTTCGTTACTGTATGAACACTGAAGGTGTCGACCCCTATCATACTGAGACCAATTCCGTCATGGAAACTCTCCAGGTCCTCGGGATCGAAGCCGCGCGCTCTAAAATCATCACTGAGATCCAGGAAGTCACAAAGGGTCTGTCCATCGATCCGCGCCACATGTATCTGTTGGCAGACGTGATGACATACAAAGGC